GGGTCACAAAGAGTTGGACACAACTGAGTGACTGAACTGAACTATTCAAAGGCAGGTAAAATGATAAGTTGCTATCTCATAGTATCTTATGACTCATTGCTCTGATAGTTGACTATTTTCTCATCCAGCTAGATTTATCAGGGTCACATAAGTGATTAACTCTGTGAGCATGATTTAGACTCGGAGTAAACAGTGTTGGTTTCCTAGCCACAATCCCATAGTTTCCCCCTGGTTTCAAGTGCAGCTATGTTGAACAGTTTCCCTGTGTGTGGTCAACATGTTACATCAAATGTTTGTTTTATTGCTTTAGCTTTTTTTGTTTTGCTTCAGAGTGTTTTTCAAAGCCATAGAAGCTTATTCAGTCTTCCTGGAAGATAGCCTCATTTTAAGTGGACAGTAACACCATTAACTTTAGCCAGCAACAAGGGGACAATTCTAAGGCACTCAGAGGGTTCCCAGTTGCCCACAGCAGTTACCAGCACAATAACATAAACCTTTATTCAATTTCTCCTTCCTTTTCTCATTCCCCCTGCTCTGTCACACATATCCTGGCATCAATTCCCAAATAAATAGTGCACCTAAATGTGTATAACACATTCCATGTGCATAGAAAAATACCTGGGAAGATACACAACAAACTGTTTAAGTGGCTACCTATGGTGATTGGAATTGACGGGTATGTAGGATTGGAATGATAGCAAGTGTTCTTATTGTCCTGCTCATATCTCCTTGGCATTTGTTGGTGCCATTCATACCTATACAATAAGTCCCATACCGACAAACAAGTTCTGTTCCAAGAGCATGTTCTTAAGTCCAGTTTGTTCATAAGTCCAACAAAGTAACACAATTGTCTATATAGTACTGTGCTGTAATAAGTTTATAATACTTTTCATATAAATGATACATAAAAAACAAAGAAAAAAGAAAGAAAGCATTTTTAATCTTACAGTACCTTGAAAAATACAGTAGTGTAGTACAACAGTGGGCCTACAGTGGCACATTCGCATCTTTGAAAGTTCACATCTTGAATGTTTGTATGTAGGGGACTTTCTGTAGTTTCTTACTGTAAGCACATAAGGACTTTCTGTGGACATATGAGTGTGCTTGGCTGGCCTACAGTGTCAACCAGAGATCTGAGGAGTTAGCATCCCCAGAGCAACCCTCAGCTGACAAGGGATGAATGGAGGTAAACACTTTAGCTTCCTCACCCTCAATGGGACCACTCTGAGGCAGGCTCTAAACCACAGACTTGCAAAGTTTTTCTATACTGCCAAATAATAATTTAGCCTTTGAGGGTGATATTGTTTGTCATAACTGTTCAACTCATGGAAAAAATGTAAGCAGAAAGAGGAAATGGCTATATTACACTAAAACTTATAAAAATAACCAGTGGGCAGGATTTTACTCTTGTTCTGTAAGTTTGTCAACATCTGTTTTACACCATCTACTAGAGGCTCGCAGGGAATTGGCCCCAACTGCAGGTAGTGAGAACTTGCCCTGGACACATCCTTTATTGACTTTCCTTCCTTCCTCTGTGTCACTTTCTGACTCCCTCTGTGTGCTCCTGTATCTTCCAAATAAACTGCTTGTCCCTGGATTCTAATCTTGGGTTCTGCTTTTGGTGGAATCCAAATTAAGAGAGGAACTTCACTTTTTACTTCTGTAAATTTCTAATTTTAAGTTTATAAGAACATATTTTAATTTTATAAGAACATACAAATCCTTTCAAAGAAAAGATTAATAAATGGTGTGACAGATGAGTCTTTGTTCAGCTCCTTTCAGAATAGTCTTAATAGAGAGAGGACAATTCTGGCACTTTGGGGAAGTAAGCCTATGATTCTCTTGGGGCCACAGGCTTTGATAATGGTCTATGTAAGAAGTATACCTTCACTTGTGTGTGTGCTAAGTCGCTTCATTTGTCTCCGACTCTTTGCAATCCTATGGACTGTAGTCTGCCAGGCTCCTCTGTCCATGGGATTCTCCAGGCAAGAATACTGCAGTGGGTTGCCTTTCCCTCCTACAGGGGATCTTCCTGACCCAGGAATCAAACTTGTGTCTCTTATGTCTCCTGCATTGGCAGGTAGATTCATTACCACTAGCACCACCTGGGGAGCTCCAAGTACACCTTGTTCTGTGCCAAAGTGTTTCTGAAAACCTGGAAGTGAATCAGAGTTTAGATAATCATTTACTCTCACATTCTCTGTTTATATAAATTATAAATTCACATGTGATATTTCTATTTCAAATGAACCCAGAATTGGTTAGGGCTCAACTACTTCACCTTCACTGTCTGTTCTTCAGCTTCTTTGTGATCCATTAGTAAGATCTCAAGATTGAAGATTGGAAGTAACACTATATTTGAAGGAATTATTAGCAATATTAATGACCACCCAAATTCAATTTTCTTGAGTTTAGACATAAGTTTGATTTAGCCTATTTCTTTGAACAAGCAAAGTGCCCCCTAGAGGATCAAAATGATAAAATCAGAATACTAGTTACTTTTGTTGGGGAATAGGGGCTAGTACTTGGGGTGACAGGCATATGGAAAGCTTTTGGCATGTTGGCAATATTCTATTTATTTGGATGGTGGTTACATGGGTGTTCATTTTGCGATAAATTCTAGTTGCACATTTTTTTTTCTTCAGTTTTTAGAATGTGTGTTATATCTTACAATTTAAAGGGTTAAAAAAATCATGCTGATTATTTTGTACATTCTTGTACTCAGTACTCAGAAGGAAGGAAGGCAATATGCTTTAAGTCAATTTGCTGCTTACAGAAAGTTTCTGCAGCATCTCTGTGGCAATCATGCGGCTGTACCTCTCAGGAATGAACTTGCCGTTCAGCTGCAACAACTTCAGGATTCACCTCTGCTTTTGAGCAGAGGCTACACTCTTCTGGTGTAGCCCCAAGCCAAAAACTGAGCACAGATGGCCTTACTAGGGCCCAACTATTTTTATCCAATATGAGACTCCTCTAATGGGCAATCTTTGCTTTAAAGTTCTCTGTTGGATTGACCAAGACTTTGTCAGGTCTGACTTTTCATCTGAGGTACTTCCTGTTATTGCTGCTGTTGTTCAGTCACTAAGTAATGTCTGACTCTTTGCAACCTCATGGACTGCAGTACACCAGGCTTCCTTGTCCTTCACTATCTCCTGGTGTCTGCTCAAACTCATATCCATTGAGTCAGTGATGCCATCCAACCATCTCATCCTCTGTGCATCCTGCTCAGTCCTATTTCTTCCCTTTTAATCTTTCAGGGCATTTCGTCCCCAATTTCTTTTACTCATTAGTCTAAGCATCTGCTTCCTAGAGGACCCAACTAGTCAGCAGTGATTTGGATTACAGGTGTTCTTGGTATTAAACACATTGATCATCTTGTAAGCGTCAGAAAAAAAAGAAGAAAAGAAAGAGGTATTAATTAGAAGGAATGCCAGTACCTATGTTAAAAATGTTACCCTGGCTTCTCTTGATAATCTGTTCTTTTACTTTCCTGGGCACGATCTGTCTTTTAGAACACCATGTTTTTTCATCAAAGAGGCACAGAGAAGATTCCATGCATTCTTTTACCATATGAATTCTATGCATCTTCCTTACCATATGAATTGAGCAAAACCTCAGAAGTCCAGGCCAGTTCTGCTTCTTCAAGGGTATGGTTAACTTTCAATAACAGGATGGAGCTCAAGATATTAAATAAGCATCCTGAATGAACGTCTCTTGGGATAATGCCTTAATTCATGGATCTAGTACTCCAGATTCCTATGCAATATTGCTCTTTCAGCATCCGACCTTTCTTCTATCACCAGTCACATCCACAACTGGGTATTGTTTTTGCTTTGGCTACATCCTTTCATTCTTTCTGGACTTATTTCTCACTGATCTCCAGTAGGATATTGGGCACCTACCGACCAGGGGAGTTTCTCTTTCAGTAAGAGTGAATGTTGACGTTCTAGGAATCAGCGAACTAAAATGGACTGCAATGGGTGAATTTATCTCAGAATGACCATTATATCTACTACTGTGGGCAGGAATCTCTTGGAAGAAATGGAATATCCATCATGGTCAACAAAAGAGTCCAAAATGCAGTACTTGGATGCAATCTCAAAAATGACAGAATGATCTCTGTTCGTTTCCAAGGCAAACCATTCAATATCATAGTAATCCAAGCCTATGCCCCAACCAGTGATGCTGAAGAAGCTGAAGTTGAACAGTTTTATGAAGACCTACAAGACCTCTTAGAACTAATACCCAAAAAAGATGTCCTTTTCATTACAGGGGACTGGAATGCAAAAGTAGAAAGTCAAGAAACACCTGGAGTAACAGGCAAATTTGGCCTTGGAGTATGGAATGAAGCAGGACAAAGGCTAATAGAGTTTTGCCAAGAGAACGCACTGATCATAGCAAACACCCTCTTCCAACAACACAAGAGAAGACTCTACACATGTACATCACCAGATGGTCAACACCGAAAGCAGATTGATTATATTCTTTGCAGCCAAAGATGGAGAAGCTCTATACGGTCAGCAAAAACAAGACCAGGAGCTGACTGTGGCTCAGATCATGAACTCCTTATTGCCAAATTCAGACTAAAATTGAAGAAAGCAGGGAAAACCACTTGACCTGTTATGCCTGATGTCCGAATCCCCAAGCAGGAAGAGAGAAGGCTTCCAAGACAATGCAATTCGCAAAAAGGGACGTTTTTGCTGACTTGAGTCAGGGCTCCTGCCACATAGTGGCACGGGATCAGAGAGCCCTGAGCCCACGCTGTTATCCAAATTTATAGGGTGTGCATAAACAGTTGGTAGCTGGCTTAAGCGGATTGGTTACATGTTTGCAAAGCAATCTCATTGGCCCAAAACTTCATGGGCTTTTTTTCAAACTTGGGTGTTCGTGGGCTTCTCAGCTTTCCCCTGATAGGTTCCCTCTTTCTTACTAGGTGCATGTTGATTGACTGGCTCCAGGTGGCCTGATAATCATGTTACCCCAGAAAACCAGGCCTATTCCTAATCTAGGCTGCCTCTCATGGCGTTAGCCCTGGCAGCCTTACATTCCCCCCGTCTAGTTGTTTCTGTAGAGGAGTCTTTCTCTTCATCCTGGGCTACCATCTGATATTGTTGTCTCAATACCATAATCTGAATGGTATTCAGACGTTCTTTAACAAAAGACATTAGCTGGTTTAAAATGCAAGGGCCAAACGTTAGTGTCAATAACAGTATTACAAGTGAAACCAGGAGGGTGGAAACTAAGGTGGTCAGCCAGGGGGAGCGTTGAAACCAAGACTCAACCCATCCCTGCTGGGCTTCCCGTTCTCTCTTTCGTTGCGCCAGTCCCTCTCTCACTTTTGCCATAGATTCTCTTACTACTCCTGTATGGTCTGCACAGAAACAACATTTTTCTCCCAGGGCCTCGCAGACCCCACCCTGTTGGGGAAAAATCAAGTCTAATCATCTCCTATTCTGCAAGACTACCTCAGACAAGGAAGTTAGAGACTTCTCCAAGTGACTGATTGATTCTTCTTTGTGAGTTATATCTTCATCTATAGCGGCTCGTAGGGAGGAAAATCCTTGGTCTTGCAGAGATAGTGAAGCTATTCCTGTCCCTGCTCCTGCCAGCCTAAGATTGAACAAGGTTGCCATGGTGATCGCACTGATTGGCTCTCTCTTCTGTCTTAGCATTTCCTGGTTCCAATGTGAGTACATAACCTCTTCAGAGTAGTATAAGATTTTTGGCATCACAGCAACCAAGACACAGAATTCTTGACTCTGGTTAAAAGCCTTCACATTTAAACATGGGGTTAGCCCAGTATGTGAACAAATCCACCAACCCCCAACCTCTGGCACAATCCAATTTTTGTCGTGTAAGCGTAGGTTACTAATAGTCCGGGCACAGAGGGAAATTTTATCACGTGGCACTGTGCCCAAACAGAGTCCCTGTCCCCAAACCTCATTCACTGTGAGGCCTACCTTGCATTCTTCCCATCGGCATTGGGGTGGGTTCCGATCTAAAGACAAATTGTAAGAGACATTGAGGCCTATGGCCTCATAGAAGGGGGGGTGAAGATTATAACAAAGCCAGCAGGATTGGGTCGCATTAGGGTTGGTATGGTTTAAGACTGTAAAAGCAGCATTCGCTAAGGCCCATAGGGGGTTGTGAATTGCTGAGCTAGTGGTACAGTCAGAGGGCCAGGGATTTCCATCAGGTTGCCTCCGAGGCTCGAGACCAAGGAGATGTTAAATGTTCTTGGCGAGCTTGGTCAGGAGGTAGTTGGCCTTGAGGGTTCTGGAAGGTAAACTTAACTAAATCCCTGTTCTCTACATCCCGTTTTTGGGGCCCATCACAAGAGGTCACACAACTCCAGCTCCAGCAATAATAGCTTTCCATGCCCCCACAGGTTTTCCAGTTATTTCTTATGTTGCCTGGGAAAGCCCAGAACCCATCTGTTGACAACCCTTGGGCTGTATTAATAAGTGTCCGTTTCCGTCGGGAGGTCACCTGGTAGTTATGCCGCCCGTTAGAATCCCACCCTGCCCCAGCACCAAAGAGTCTCCTGAGATCAAAGTACAAGTCCGGCCACCAGGTATTCGGAGGGTGGATTCCTGAGGTCTTGTTGAGTTGCTCATGAGTCTGCCCATCGCTGAGTTTCCAGGTGATCTTAGCAGGTCGATGGGGGTTGTGACTGGTCACTCCTGGATCGATGAGAGCTGCCATCAGCAGAAGAATTAGGAGGCCTCCGGGCGGGCGAGTTTCAGTTTCAAAGGATTTGATGGGTGAGGACTCGCCTTCCATTCTGCTCGCGCTTTTTCCTGTTCTTCCGGAGTGGCTTGTCGCACGTGATTGCAGTGAACCCAGGGTCCAATCCCCTCGACCTTGACAGCGGTAGGAGTGGTAAGGAGAACAACATAAGGGCCTTTCCGTCTAGGCTCTAATACCTTTGATTGGTGCCATTTTACCCAAACCCAATCACCTGGGCTAATATTATGTGAGGGGATGACCCCCTCATTTTGACCCTCGTATATCTCTTGAATCAACTTTCAAACATGGTTATGTACCTTACTTAATGCCATCAGAGTTTGCTGGAATTGTCCCAAAGTAGGGGTTGGCAGGCATTTTTCCTCGAAAGTAGGACACACAGGAGGGGGTCTTCCATACAGAATCTCAAAAGGGGTAACATTCAACTTATATGGGGTGTTAGTGCCCAAAAGAGAGCGAAGGGAAGGAGGGTCACCCAGTTCCCGCCAGTCTCTATTGCGAACTTTGTCAAAGTTTCTTTTAGGGTCCGATTCATTCTCTCAACCTGTCCTGAGCTCTGGGGATTATATTCACAATGTAACTTCCATTTTGTCCCCAGAGCTTGGGCCAGCCCTTGTACAATCTGGCTCACAAAGGCAGGTACGTTATCAGAGCCCATAGTCACTGGCAGCCCGTACCTAGGCACTATCTCTTCTGAGATCTTTTAGCAACCACTATTGCTGTCTCTCCCTTAGTAGGGAAGGCTTCTACCCACCCCGAGAAGGTATCTACCAGAACCAACAAATAGCGATACCCATACTTGCCTGGCCTTACCTCAGTGAAATCTATCTTCCATTGTTGCCCTGGCTCTTCCCCTCGGTACCTCATTCCCGTGTGCTGCTTTTTCCTGTCCTCATCAGCTGGCACACTTTGCAAGCCTGGATTATCTCTCGTACAGTTGCATTTTGTTGAGGGAACCTCAGGCAGGCCGTCTGGAGAAGTGTTAAGGTCTTTTTCTCTCCCAGGTGGGTAGTTGTTGTGCAGGTGTTCACACAGGTGATGACCCAGGGTGACAGCCAATATCAGGTTGTTGTTTTGGTCTCGGTACCATCCATCTTTGTCATCCTTCTGGAGGATGGTATCCTCGCTGATCCAGGTGAGATCAGGGAGGGAATATTCGGGAACTGATGGCAAAGTCCCCATGCCAGGAGGTGGAAGTCCCACGGCTAATATGGGGGCGGTGTTGTCCCGGCTAGCTGTTTCCTGAGCTGCCGCATCAGCGGCACAATTGCCCCGCGCCTTAGGGTCTTCTCCTTTCTGGTGACAGGGGACATGTACTATTGCCACTGCCAGGGGCAGTTGGACAGCTTCCAGGAGCCTGCGAATCTCGGGCAAATTTTTGACCTCTTTTCCCTCAGCTGTCCGAAATCCCCTTTCTTGGTATGTTGGATCTTGAATATGGGCAGTGCTGAAAGCATATCGGCTGTCAGTAAAAATGGTGACTCTCTTCCCTTTGGCTTGCTCCAGAGCCTGTATTAGGGCAATCAACTCTGCTTTTTGTGCAGAAGTGTTTGGGGGAAGTGTCTCAGCCCATATCGTCTGCCCTGAATCATCATCTATGGTGGCTCCTGCCTTCCCTTGCCCATCTTTTACATAGCTGCTCCCATCGGTGAACCATACTAGCTCACTGTTGTTTAGGGGTACATCAGTTAAGTCTTTTTGTGCCATCAGGTCCTCAGCCAGTATCTCACTGCAATCATGGAGAGGGCGGTCTTTCTCTGGGTTAGGTAGGAGCGTGGCTGGATTCAGGAAGCAAGGGGTCTGAAAACGCACCCGTTTAAAACCCCTTCAATGGCGTGGGGGGTGTAAACCAAGAGTTGCTGTCCATATGTCAACTTGTCAGCGTCTCGGAAGAGGAGGGCAGTGGCTGCAATGATGCGAAGGCAAGGGGGCCACCCAGCGGCCACCGGGTCTAATCGCTTCGAAAGGTATGCCATCGGCCGCTTCCATGGTCCCCATTGCTGCATCAATACCCCCTTTCCTATTCCTTGCTTTTCATCTACAAACAGCTGGAATGGCTTATTTGGGTTAGGCAGGGCAAGGGCTGGGGCTTCTAGTAGGGCCCGTCTGAGTGTCTGGAAAGCCTGTTTCATTGGCTCAGTCCAAGTCCAATTTGGGGTCTCTTTACTTCCCTCATACAAGGGCCGGGGCTTCTCAGAAAACCCCATGATCCAAAGTCTGCAATATCCAACAGTCCCCAGAAACTCTCTCACCTGGCGGGGGGTCTTGGGTTCTGGTATCTGCAATATTTCCTTCATGGCCTGGGTTAGCCACCTTTGCCCCTGCCTGATCTTATATCCCAAATAGGTGACCTCTTGCCGAGCTATTTGCGCCTTCTTTGCGCTAGCGCGATACCCCAAAGTGCCTCGGGTCTGTAAGAGGTCCCCAGTGGCACGGCTGCATGCCTCCTCTGTGGTTCCAGCCAACATAAGGTCATCTACATGTTGCAACAGGATGACCTCTGAGTGGCAAGTCCGATATTCTTAGCGGTCCTCGCTCAAAGCCTCATTAAACAAGGTAGGGGAGTTCTTGAACCCCTGTGGGAGGCAGGTCCAAGTTAATTGTACTACTGGTTGGCCTTCCCCCTCGGTCCACTCAAAGGCAAATATCTCCTGGCTCTGGGCCACCAGGGGTAGGCTGAAAAAAGCATCTTTCAAGTCCAACACAGAGTACCAAGTGTACTCAGGCAGTAAACTGCTCGGGAGGGTATACAGGTTAGGGACCGTAGGGTGTATGTCACTCACCCGTTTGTTGACTTCTCGCAGGTCTTGGACAGGTCTGTAATCTTTCCCCGCTGGCTTCTTCACCGGCAGTAAGGGGGTGTTCCAAGGGGTTTGGCACTGCTTGAGAATTATGGCATCCATGAGCCATTGAATGTGGGGAATGATCCCCCGCCGAGCTTCCTGGCTCATAGGGTACTGTCTCACCCTCACAGGACTAGCTTCGGCCTTTAGCTCGATGACGACCGGATGTCTCTGTTTGGCCAGTCCCATTCCTGCTGTTTCTGCCCAGGCCAAAGGGTATTTATTGACCCATGGTTGTACATCTGGTGCTATGGTCTCTGAGGGCTTAGGCGCAAAAAGTTTGTACTCATCTCTTAAGGCTAGGGATAAGACATATATTGGCTGTCCAAGTCCATCCGTGACTGACATTCCCCCAGGATCAAAATGGATCTGAGCATTAACTTTAGTCAACAAGTCTCTTCCAAGTAGAGGGGCTGGGCATTCTGGTATCACCAAAAATGAATGGGACACCTGGTGGGTCCCTAGATTTACTTTCCGTTCTGTGGCTCAACAATACCTTTTTGTCCCCGTGGCTCCCTGCACCAAGCTGGTTTTCTTAGACATTGGTCCCAGTCTTTGATTTAAAACAGTGTTGGGCGCCAGTATCTACCATGAAGCCAACGGGTTTCCCCTCCACACGTATGGTTACCCAGGACTCGGGGAGGGGTGCCGAGTCTTGACTCCCCTAGTCACTGTCTTCCCCCGCATATAGAACTTGAGTTCCAGGGGAGATTCTCTCTCTCTGGGTTGTTCCCCTCTTTGGGTCCCTCTCAGGGCACTCGTTTTTCCAGTGCCTTCGTTCTTTGCAGTAAGTGCACTGATCTTTCTTTAGGGCCTGCCTTTTTGGTCTCTCTCTTTCTCCCGCCTGGGGGTCTCGAGGCTCCCTCAATTCTGTTCTGGCCTTCATCCCCGCAAAAAGAATCTGGGCTAGCTCCCTCTGGTTCTTCCGGTTTTCCCTCGCCCTATGTTCCCTATCTTCCTTCCTGATGTTCTCAGCTAATTCCCTTTCCTCCCGTTGAATTCGCTCTTCCCTTTCTTCTGGGGTCTTTCTATTACTAAATACCTTTTCAGCTGCTTTCAGTAAATCTTGTATTGTCTGTTCTCCCAATCCCTCTATCTTTTGTAATTTCCTCCTAATATCTGGGGCTGCCTGACTTACAAACGCTAACACAACTGCAGCACGTCACTCCTCAGCCTTGGGGTCCATAGGTGTATATTGTCTAAAGGCTTCCATCAGCCTCTCTAGGAAGGCTGATGGGCTCTCAGCGGGCTCTTGCCTTACTAAATTTACCTTCGCCAAATTTGTCGGCTTTCTAGCTGCGGCCCGCAGGCCAGCCATTAGAGTCTGGCGGTATACTTGGAGACGCTCCCTACCTTCCACTCGCTCAAAATCCCAGTTAGGCCGCAACAGAGGAAACCCCTCGTCCACGAGATGAGGCTGGGCGGTTGGTCTCCCATCGACCCCTGGGACCCGTTTCTGTGCTTCTGCCAGAATTCGCTCCCGTTCTTCTGTGGTGAAGAGCACCTGCAAGAGCTGCTGACAATCGTAATGAAAGGAGAGTTTCACCTGGCCGGGCTCTAGTTACTGAGGCTCACTTATTGTAGGGCCTTCAGAGTCCGCCAGAGTGTAGCCCTGGCTGGGACTCATCAATTGCCCCCACAACCATTCGCCTGTTCACTGAAACTCCTGAAAAGAGTAGGAACGAGACCAGAGACAATGCCGGCACACACACAAACACGGAGAGCCGAAGACAAACACACGGACAGACAAACGTCGGCAGACAACACAGAAAGCTTTTTCCTGTGCCAGACACCTTCCTGCTTCACAGCAGGGCCTCGGATTTACACTGGACTTTTCCTGTCCTGCCTGAGACAATGCCGGCACACACACAAACACGGAAAGCCAAAGACAAACACTCGGACAGCTGACAACACAGCGCTGGGTTTTTGGGCCCCCTGAATTTTCCTGAGCACCAGTGCTATTATCTATCCTTCCCCTCTGACCTGGAAGTGTTCTCTTACCCAGTCAAGGGATCCCAGACGAGCCCCCAAATGTTGTGCCCGATGTCCCAATCCCCGAGCGGGAAGAGACAAGTCCTCCAAGACAATGCAACTGGCAAAAAGGGGAAGTTTATTACTGACTCCAGACAGGGCCCTCTGCCGCATCCAACTCAGTGGTGCAGGTCAGAGAGCCCCGAGCCCAAGCTGTTACACAAAATTATAGGGTAAGCACACGCCCGTTTGTAGTTGGTTTAAGCAGATTGGTTACAAGTTTGCAAAGCAAATTCATCGGTCAAATCTTTCGCGCGGGCGGGACTTTCCTGGGGGTTTCCGCCCCGTTCCTAATTTCCTAATTGGCAAACAGCGGTCAGTGTTAAGTGAAAGC